CTCCAAAAAATAATCGTAAAAATATCATACTTTCGTCCTGAATATCGAGAAAACACTTCATACAGTGATTATTGGACCTTTAAAGAGTATTCTTAGGAAGTTTCAGCTGAATCCAAGTTTGAGCGATTTTCGTCGTAGTAGCACTTTAAGATAAGATATTTCCGTGCATTTTGAGAGCCGCATCTGCGAGTTGTTTTGCTTTGACATCAAGCGTGATCCCTGTGTTGTGTACACGGACGTATGTACGTATGTACGGACGGACGGACGGAAGTGACGTCAGCCAAGCCATCAACATGCTGCTCTTCACATCCATAACATGGATAAAAAAATGTTTTCTTGTGGTATTTTCATTGACTTAAAAAAGGCATTTGACACTGTTGATCATTCGATACTTTTAAATAAGCTTTATCATAATGGGATTAGAGGCATTATTAATGATTGGTTTGCATCTTACTTGAAAGACCGATTTCAAACAACACAGATCGGAACCGTAACGTCAAATAAAGAAACCACCTTATGCGGTGTCTCTCAAGGTTCTATTCTAGGTCCATTATTATTTCTGCTATATATAAATGATATCTATAAATGTTCTAAAAAAATCTAAATTTTATCGCTATGCTGATGACACTATCCTATTATATGCCGATAAAAGCTTAAAAACTCTTGAATTAACTGTTAATATTGAACTTGCCAAATTAATTAGCTGGTTAATTGCAAATAAACTAACCCTTAATATATAAAAATCCAATTATGTAATTTTTCAAACTATTGTAAAGATTCTAGATAGCAATTTAAATAGATTCCTTCCTTTGGAGCGGATAATTGCAAAACTTAGATATTTCGTTCCTCTCCATACTCTCCATAATATTTATCGATCTCTGATTCACCCTTATCTTACTTATGGGTTAACTTTATGGGGACAAGCTGCTCAAATTCACCTAAAAAAAGTTATTCTTCTACAAAAAAGAGTTCTTAGATTAATGTACTTCACTGATAGATCCAAACATGCAATTCCTCTTTTTATCAGAGCTAATACACTATTAATTTCCTCTACTATGAATTAGTTGCCCAGTTAATGCATGATATTGAAAATAGGCTTGCACCTCCTAATATTCTAAATCAATTTACCCTTGCTTCAAATGTTCAATCATACAACACAAGATTCTCATCATCAGGAAATTTCTATATTAAAAAATCTCAACTTGAAGTGCAAAAAAAAATCATTGCAAGATTTGGAGCTAGGTTCTGGAATAAGATACCGAGCGTTTTGCGTAAATCAAAAAAGAAGAAGTTTAAGTTTACATTATGTAAAAAAAAAAACCATCTGATTTTCTCTTAAGAGAAGATAGCTATGCTGACACTTCCCCTATTGTAGACAGACTAGATTATACGTTGAACGTCTCAGACTGAGTCTTTATATAATGCGGCTATTTATAAACTATTATTTCTTGATCTTTAATCATTGGTTAGCATCATTTTTCCTTTTTCTCTTTTTTTCGCTTTTCGTTTCTTTATTGTAATTAAACTGTTAGTTTTTCATTTATTTATCTTCTTATTTATTTGTAAATCTTCCTATATTTATTTAATGTAATATATCGCCTCCCGCCTAGATTAGTCTAGCTATTTGCGGGAGGGTGATAAATTGTGTAAATATAGATATTCTTCGGCCCGCGCGGGAGCTCCACTAAGAAGCTTAAATATTTGGAACTTGTAAATCAACAAAAGTGTCAATTTATGGATGTCAAGTTCGTCAATTTATCCATCAGCACCCTTGGTGTCTTCTCCAACAAATCATCAGAGTTTGTAGAAATGATGAAGGAATTAGGTTTAGAGAAAAAGCAGCAGAATTATATATTTAGCAGCGTAACGAAAATCATCATCAGATCCATTTATTATATTTTTTGTTGTCGTAACAAAGCATGGGATAATCCTGAATTGATAAGGTTTTAGTTTTGTGAATTTTCAAGTGTTCGCAAAGTCAAATTCGAGTAGTCAATTGTAAATTGCCTTTAAGTAGAGAGAATTACAATAGCTGTAAAAAATGTTAAAATAAAGTTTTCATTATTATCATCATCATCATTATTATGAGAAGAAGAGCATGTATGCCAGCACAGTCTTAGAAGTCGAACAAGCGAATTTTACGCCTTTAGTATTCACTACAGCGGGAGGTATGGCAGATACTAGAAAGTAGAAGATTATGCCACCCGTGTATCCTGGATACGAGCAAAAATCGTAGGTCTTCTTCTCCATTTTGAGATCAGCTCTTTTGTGCCTTAGAGCTTCAAGAACCACAAGAAGATTAAATAGGAACTTAAATGACATAGACTTAGATGTCCAGACTGCAATTGCAGCAATTAGATAGATTTATTTCCCCATTTATATTTATACATAATTGCCATTATTTTATAGAATATATATTATTAGGTTTAGTTTTTACCAAATAGATTTTATGGTGTATATTAATAGATGTATTATTATTGTAGGATATTATCATAGTGTTTTTTTCTTTCTTTTAATATATAATTAGTATTAAGGTTTAAATATTATTACAAATTATATAGATTTGGTTACTGACGTTATTATTATGAATAATAGGATTTGATATATATTATTCAATGAAATTATTATGGCATGTTTTTTTTTTCTCTGTCATTTCAATTCACAATAGTTAGCGGGACGAGCCTAGGGTTTGTTACTGACTGTGTAGCGGTATTGCTTTACAGTTCTTTCTTAGGTCGTGTAATTATGAAATGTCTTAACAATCTCCACGTTCAGACTGGCGATCCATTTCTGGCATCTCTGGATTAGGAACGACGTTTCTCTGTCGTTCTGAGTAACTGTCTATAGCTCGTGTTTTAGTTTTTCACGATATCCTACAAGGAAGTCGAGTACGACATTGATTTTTTTTACGGTAGCGCTTTTGTGGTTGTATTTGATTACTGTGCCTGTACCCTGTGTACTTATCTTGCTTGATGGCATGTCTGTTTGTTTCCCAATTTGGCATAAAACTGCTCCTTCAAATGATGTCTATGTGTTTGCTTATTTATTCAGCAAATTATTATTATTATCATTATTATTATTATAATCATATCCTTTATGTAATCACTACCAAATCCTGCAAGGCAAAAATGTATTTTTCATGTAGTCATGTAATCACGTGTATGATTACACAAAGGATATGATTAAGTGGTAATTGAACTTCGTGTCGTGC